CATCCCGACCATCATCCTAATTGTCACGCAGGCCTCATCCATCCCGATCATCCCGACTGTCATCCTCACTGATCTCACGCAGGTATATCATCCATCCCAACAGTCCCGACCATCCCGACCATCATCCTAATTGTCACGCAGGTCTCATCCATCCCGACCGTCCCGACCATCCTGACCGTCATCCTCATTGTTCCAGAGAGAGAGAGAGAGAGAGAAATAGATTGGACGGGAAGCCTACGAGAAAAAGATCCCGTGTGGTATTTTGAGTGCTTTTTGCGAGAGAGATGGACGTACATCACACTGGGCAACCACTTTTCGAGCGGACTGCACCGCTGCCAGGTCGGCGGATTGGTCACTGTGGTGCCTCGATTGAGAGGTTCGCGTCAGTCGGGACAGGCGAGTTGATGATACTCATGACCGAACCATTGTTGAATCCCTACGTCCCGGCTTTCCAACAACACGTACCACCCTTACCGTCGTTTCATCTGACCCCTCGTCACTGATGCAACGATCCTCCTCTTCTCCTCCTTTGTCATCCTCTTCTCCTTCTATGGTCCTCCTCTTCTCCTCCGCTTCTACTTCTCTGGTCCTCCTCTTGTCCGTCTCTGGTCCTCCTCTTCTCCGGATTCTCCTGCATACCCCATTTACCTCCTCTTGTCCTCCTTCTCTTGTCCTTCTTTCGTCCTCGTCTTGGTGCGTTGGCGCTATCCCCCTGTCCTCTGCTGCTCAGTCATATAAAAACTATTCTTACTGTCGTTCTAACTGGCTGTGCACGGACCGTCCCGACCATCCCGACCGTCCCGACCATCCCGACCATCCCGCTAGAATCTGATCCTACGACGCTGATCCGGCCAATTGGAATCTGATCCCACACGCTGATCCCTGACGCTGATCCGGCGAAGTCGAATCTGATCCGGTAATTACCCTTGATCTGGGAGACGCAACACAGATGGCAGGGTGACAAGCAGGAGTTGATCCTCATCTGAAGATATAGCGGTCATATGGTCAGAAATGGCGTGTCTTCTCCACGCCCCAGAAAGGCCTTTGCTGGTTCTTTGTGTTCGTATCCAGCCACCGCATCCCATGTTACCAGCCATCTTGATCCATCCCATGCCAGATCGAGGCACACCATCCAGCCACCAACATCCTGACGAAGTCAGATCTGAGAGACTCCAACAGACTGCAGGAGCCACCGACTTTAGATCAACTCAATGGAACACATGTTTCAAAGGTAGGGAGATCTGCAAGTTCGCAGGAAAGAAACCAAACACAGATCTCGGAACACACGGTTCCCTGCCACAGACCTTGGATCGTCGCACAGGAGGCCTTGTAAAGCTGTTAGCTGGGCCCCTCCTTGGTTTGGTGAGCTGTTTGCCGCATTGGAAAGCCCAAAAGCCAGCGTCGTTCGAAACCCAAAAACAGCGGGTGCCAACCAGCGGAGAAAACGATCTCCAAATCCCTTGACTGTAGGACAAGGCTGTGGATCCAAGCACAAAACCCTGGTTGAGCAACCACCTGAGAATATCTGAGAATGAGCGGACTTCACGCTGCCAGACATGGTCAACCTGGGCGAACTTGTTGGGGGAGGTGTCAAAACACAGCATCTCAGAGCTCAGTAATTTTATAGTAACATCAGTAACTCTTGGAAGGGGTTGCCCGTGGTGGCCATTTCAAAGGATTTTCTGTAAAGACTATTGCTCATCCAGTGCCCGTGGTTGCCACATCCCCGATGAACCATTCTCTTCCACATATCTCTATCATTCTTATTCTATCTCCAATCTCAATCCCAAAAAGGCAAACAAACAAAACCAACAAAAAAGTATATAATCAATTAATCAAAAATAATCAACAATATATGGAATCGAAGGTCTTGTCCAGTAAAAAAATGCTTCCTTTTTGTCCACTCCCCCAAAAGAATGGAACAACTACACCAACACCCCAACCGGATCCCTACGGTTCGTCGGTCGGTGGAACCACCGTCCGGTGCCGAAACCGCCGGTGGAGCCCGCCCGCGGAGCCCGCGCCGCCCGTCCCTCGCCTGCGCGGCCGTCTCCACCGGAGCGAAGATGGCCACGTGCACGTCTTCGAGCTCCGCGGGCAGCAGCAGAAAGCTGCCTCAGAGCCGCTCACCCGCAGGGATAGCGCGCGCCCGGACGCGTTCGGACCGCGATCGAAATGCTCGGCGACGAGTCTGCTCAGTGGAGGCTCTTTATAAGGCTACGAGGGAGGCTACGAAGCGGAGGAAGCACGGTGGATCCGTGCGGTGAAAATGCGAAGGAGAGGTTTTTTGAGCGTCCGGCTCAACATGCAAATGATCTGCGGTATGGATTTGGTGATATGGATCTGTGGTGATGTCGTTCCATCGTTGGATGATGTGCATTTTTGGGGTGCCTGATTTAAGCATCCATGGATGCTTTCCCTCCACGGTTCACCATCTTGACCCAACTGATGGAGGCTGGAAACTTCCGGCGATCAAGCCCGTCGTCGATGGACATGCTAGCTCAAGCGGGAAATGATGTCAACCTGTAAAAATGCCACATCAAGTTGAGGAAGGGCATCCGTAAAATCGGTCCAATTTAAAGCTTTTGGAGCGTGGCCGGCAATTGCCTAGAGTTTGATTAGAAAAACGACAAATTGCCCAATAGAGCCCAAGCAGTCGAGTGACTCATTTTCAAACTGCGAACAAGCGATTCGTCCGAGATTCTCAACGAAATCTCTGCGACCGCCAGGCATTGCTGTTGCTGGTCAAGTCGCCCATTCCTGTGCGATCTGTTTGCACTTCGCTTAGGCGTCCAGTCCTTTCAAAAGGACCTTCCGTCCCAGCGACGAGTTTGATGCTTCTGCTGGCGGCATCCGGAAGACAACTACCAGTGCACTCAGATTGTCAGTACTCTTCAACTTCTGGGCTTGCTTCAGTAGCGCTTCAGCCGCAGCTTGCGGGGATCGTGTTCCTGAGCTTTCGACGGATGAAAAAAAATGGATCACGACAACTCAGGAGAAGCGAAAACAAAGGATGTCACAATTCAATCAATCATTGAGGGACGGAAACGATGAAATCAGCCAAATTAAACACGTGCTCTGCAAAAAACAAGGTTTCTCCGCAACTGTCGTCTGATCGACTGGACAGCGTCCAAGTTTGTCATGCTCTCGAAGACGCCATCAGAGGCAAGGAGGATGAACTCCATGTCGGAATCTACCGAGAAGACGGTAACCTCTGGTTCCGATAATAGTCCTGGACATTTCGTCCATGTTGAGCGTGTGAAATCTCCCAAGGCGCGACTCACTGAGAGGCCACCTGGCAGGTAGCCATCAGATGTCGTTTGGATCCCTTGCATGCTCAAGCGCTCTTTTTCGCATGGCTCACATGGTTTGTGCTCCTTCGTCATCACGATCAAGGATCCGCCTTTGTAGGCCAAGGCGCGGCAGTCTCCGAGGTTGGCCACGGCAAGCTCGTGTTCATCTCGCACAGCGATGCAGGCACATACGCCCGAGGATAGAGGGTAGCCCAGGACGTCTGCTTCATCTCGCTGCAAGTGGTCCAACAACGCTGCATCAGCCTTTTGAAAGGCTTCTTTCATTCTAAGGCCCATATCTGGCCCCTTTTCCTTTCCCAGCAGTTTTGGGAGCGCTTCTTTCACATAGCTCACGGCTTCCGATCCGCCGTGGCCATCGTACACTGCGAAGAAGCGACCTTGCACGTCAACGGCATCTTCCATGGCTCCACGGCCATTTTGCATGACGCACCAGCCATGCTGGTCGTCTCCTCCACTTGCATCAGAAGGTAAAGCCTCAACCTTTCCTCGTCCGAGGCATGGGCACACCGCTCCCATGGCGTTCCACGTTGAGGGAGGTTAGATATGTGTGCTGAGTTCCACATCAAAAAGGACATCCCACATCAGATGCGACTTGATGTTTGGGGCGTTTCGACTGCAACATGGCCCTCTACTGACTCTACATGGCGTTTCGATTGCTCACATTTGGAACAGGTGTGCGAAGCGGTGTGGGTGGTGTGGAACCGTTTCGGACCAAACCCTGCAAAGTGAATCACATCAACATGGACTCAAAAGATCGGGATCCACACGGAGTGATTCTTTAGATTCTTCAATCGCAACTGCCTCAACCTCCAAGAGGCTTCTGAATCAACTGTTCACCCGAGATTCTCGGGCTGGGTCAGGATGAAAAACAAATGGCCAAACCAAGTCACATCTGAACCCTTCTTCACCCTCTTAATCATTAAACCCATAAAAATTTGGAGAACTTTCGTGAAGTGCCTGGAGTGCCCCAAAATGATCAATGGCACCTCTGGCGGGTTGAGCTTGGCAAAATTCTGACCTCTGACCTCTGCGACACGCATCACGAGCATCTGCGGTGCTTCCAAGCCGCCATTCGCTTCGGCGACAATGGTGCCTGTCCTGGCGATTTCAGCATCGAAAGTGGTACAAACTGAACCCCCCTTTGGAAAAGGCGGAAATCTTTGGAAAACATGAAACTTGAGGCCGAGGGTAGGTGACGAAAGCTAGCAGGGGTGCATCCGGACTGGTGGGACATCAAGCGGAGTGAGGCAAATGCTCATGAGGTAAAACGTTGTGAACATGTAAGACACACAAACAGCAATGACACAGCCAACCTTCGAATTGAAGTCCCCGACAATTAAGGAAGCGTGGCTGGACTTTGCCACACTGTTCGATGCATCCGATGTGTTCACGAACCTGTGAGCTTGTTGAATCTGTTGCACCGTATCCCAAAACCTCCACGGAGGAGTTGAACCAGTGATGCCATAAGAGGTGCCCAAGAGGTGTCCCAGAGGCAAAACAAAGCTGCTTGCATGATTTGTTTGGTTTCTTCTATCGATGTCGATGTCATGAACATGTGAGCTTGTTGAATCTGTTGCACCGTATCCCGGAGGAGTTAAGCCAAAGTGGATGCCATAAGAGATGCCCGAGAGGTGTCCCAGAGGCGTCCGAGGGGGGAGTTGAACCCAGGGGGCCCCCCCCTACATATGAAGTTTTCACGTGATGCGGCGATCCCGAGGATTCCAGCCCCTCACTTGCTAAAGCAAGGACAACTCCAGCTAGCTGGTGCTAGCTTTCGTGAAATGTGACAAACATATGGAACACATATGGAAAAACAAAATCTATTTGTCCACCTGTTCCTCACTCTGATGAGGGCTGAAAAACATGACACCAATGGGTGACCTGCGGGTGATCACTGACCCTTCTGGGTAAGTACGTACATGTCACTGGTGTCAGCATGAGACAAAGCGGGCACAGAATAGATCGACCACTGGAGAGGTTCACCGGTGTTTTGGAGCGCCACAGTCCCCACTCCCTCTCTTTCACCACGCTTCACACTATGCTTCCAACTACGTTTCTCCGTCTTCGCCTCTTCGAAGACCCCCGTGTCGACTGCCTGGTGGGGTGGAGCAAGTCGACAAACTCTTGACCCTCGTTGTACTCGAGGCCCTCCGGTAAAAGGTACTTGCCTCGGCGGACAGTCGGACCGTCGGAGGTGCCCGCGCGCGGTCGATGGCCGATGACTCGATGACCTCTGGTTCTTTGTTCATCGCTCTTGGACTCAGAACGGAAGAGATCAGGTGGGGTGGAAGCCTCTCCAGGTACCTGGAGGGCGGTGCCATGCTCAAGCCGATTTTTCGGATCGGCGTGCGACACCCGTGCGAGGCAACTCTGTTGGCATTGCGGTTGACGTGAACAGACTTCAGACCCCGTCTGAGGGGTTCTGAAGTCTGGGGCTATCAGTTCTGGGCTTCAATGGCGGGCGGATAGTGGGTAGGAGTATATGCCCAGAATCCCCCCCCGAGCCCATGGGGTGTCTAACCGGCCCCCACTCACCCCAAGCACCACGGAGGCCCCTGGTCGATACACCAGATCTGGTAGGCATCCGAGGCCGGTCTTCGAAGGTCGAAAGATGAGAAGGCCATGATCGTTCCGTGGATGAACCAGATCAACAAGTCTCTGGACACTATTTTCAACATCTACGGCCTGTGTCATCAACATCGTGTAGTTCAAAGACATGAGAACTCAGAAAAGAAGAAAACAAAGAGCAGTGGTTGATAGTGGTTGTGTTCTTTTCCGAGTGACGGTGTTCAATGCAAAAGGAACATGGCATCCAGCCGTGGCGGAGATGACAACTACAGGTTGTTGACTACTTCCATTAGCTCTCAGGATACGCCCTGGAAGAGACCCACATGGATTTTGAAAACCACTGGTATGTGGAAGAAGCTGGTCTTCAGCTTCCAGGTGGGTCTCTTCCCTGCCTGTGTACCTCTCTCCGTGGCCGAAGGGCTTGTTTCATCACTGGCGTCGTCTTCTCCATTTCGCCCCCAAACAAGGGAGCGTGTTTTAACATCAGGGGTCACTCAACATGAGTTTTCGGGGTTTTCTCGTATTCGGAGGCTTGAGCAGTTCTGAGGGCCATGGGGGGATTCCATGCTACAACAGGGCAACTGGAGATTGAGTGTGCTGCACCAGGATCAATGAAACACGATGAGGGGGATCTTTGCAAGGTGTTTGTGTGCATGTCCATGTGCTATATCAAACACAACCAAAGCAATTAATGACGACTCTTCGGGTGGGAAAAAAACACTAAACATCTCCCCAAATCTCATCCTTGACCTAAGGTTCTTGGTTTTTGTTGCCCTTCCCTTCTCCCGCAGTCGTTGCCCCCGCGTTGGCCCGGCCCAGCGGCGCTCCGGCTGATCTGGCTGATCCTCCAGCGATGGAATCATGCTGAGCACCTCGGCGTCCGCGCGACGTCCGCGGCGCGTGGACGGACGTCCGGACGAGCGAGCTCGTCGTCGGCCGGACGGGCGAGCTCGTCGTACCTGCGAAGCGGTTCGGTAGGACGATCGACCCTCCTAATCTACCAACAAAAAGCCAAAAGCATGGTCTTTTCAATCTCTATATTTCCTAAAGGTCAAATGGGTTCCAGGTGAACCTTTCACCCATTTTCCGCCAGTTCGTTGACGTTGTGGTGAGTCCTCCAAGCTACTAGCGATGGCCTCCGCAGCAGTGCAGGTGATCCACTTTTCCAGGGGTAGGAGCACCAGCCCCACTTCCACGTGATATAGGTAGAACGGTAGGTGGAACCGACCCAAAACGGCATTCAACGACCCCCTAGGTTCAGTTTGGGACATTGAACACCACGGGTGGTAACTGTCCACCCATTGGGCCAACTGTTCGCGCATACCAAGTCCACTCGAGAGAAACAAGAAGACCCGGTTGTGGATCCGCGACCCCAAATTCACAAATGTTTGGATGGTCTGTCGGGGCATTACAACCAATCAACGCAATCAAGTGATTTGAAGTACCAGGTCTTGGTTGAAGTTGTAACTCAATCTATTTTCAACCACTGGGAGCTCTGTTGACGTCGCTTTCCACCCCCACTCTGCATGCCCAAGGCACCACCAACATGCCCAAAGGCTGCTCTTCTATTGCCATGTCCTGCAACCAAACGAGGCATCCGAAGGGTACTCCTCCCACAGTCCAGACACAGCCCATGGGACTGGAATCTTTTTTGTTCAAATCACTTAGCAAAATATTGATGTCATTTGATGTCAGTGGGTTCAAACATCCCAAGTAAAGATTGAAAATAGACATATCCGAAACCTCCACGATCCGTCCCAGATACTCCATGTATGGTATATCTATACCGACCAGTTGGAGGGTCACTGTCAGCAAATATTCCATACATGGAGTGTCTGGAATATAGTCAGAGCTCGTTCGGATCGTCTACTGCCCTCTCTTGGCGACCTCATCGCGACCGGAGCTGCGCGGCCGGAGCTGCGCCCATTCGCTGCGCCGCTGTTCGCCCGTCCGCGGGTCCTCGCGGCCGTCATGCAACTTCCAGTAAGCCAACTGCCTGGAGACACGGAACTCCAGAAAGCTTGGAGAAACTTCATGGTTTCATGACACGCGGTTCTGTGGCCCATGGCCCGTGGCCGTCAAATTCAGGTGGTTGCCCCAGCCGGTGAGTGTCTTTTTCCCGAAAGCATTGCGAAGGGTTCTTCCGGAAAATCTCTTGTCTCTCTCTCTGTCTCTCTCTCTCTCTCTGTCTGTCTCTCTCTCTCTCTCTCTGTCTCTCTCTCTCTCTCTCTCTCTGTCTCTCTCTCCCTCTCTCCCTCTCTCTCGCCTTGTGGATTCTACACCTACACTTGAACACTCACACTTCTACACTCACACTTGAACACTTACGATTCTACACTGACACTTGAACAAACACTTACACAATGGCACAATGGCACAGAAGTATCGAAGTTTGTATCGAAGTTTGTAAGTGTGAGTATCCCAGTGTAAGTGTAAGAGTGAAAGCATCCAAGTGCAAGTGTACAAGTGTAAGTATCCAAGTGCAAGTATTCAAGTGTAAGTATCCCAGTGCAAGTATGCAAGTATGAGTATCCCAGTGCAAGTATGCAAGTATGAGTATTGAAAACTTTCACGGGAGATGTCCTAATGAAAAACATTTCCCCACTTTATAAACTCTCTTTAAAGGCGGAGGGTGGGACGAACAGCATCAACCGAAAATGCAACCCTCTGCGGAGATCGTGCGTGTCGAGTGCGCGAAATGCAGGCGAGAGTGCGATTTGTCCCCTGCGCGCGCAACCCTCTGCGGAGATCGTGCGTGTCGAGTGAACGAAATGCAGGCGAGAGTGCGATTTGTACGGTGCGCGCACAACCCTCTGCAGAGATCACGCGTGTCGAGTGCGCGAAATGCAGGCGAGAGTGCGATTTGTCCGGTGTGCGCGCAACCCTCTGCGGAGATCGTGCGCCAGGGCGCGAAATGCAGGCGAGAGTGCGATTCGTCCCACGTGCGCGCAACCCTCTACGGAGATCGTGCGTGTCGAGTGTGCGAAATGCAGGCGAGAGTGCGATTTGTCTCAACCTGTCCCACGCGCGCGCAATCGGATGAGAGCTGGCGACGGCGTAGTACAACTTTAGTGGGCGGAGTCGTGGGGTATCTGGGGAGCTGGAAGATGAGAACTGGCGACCTGGTAGTACAACTGGAGTGCACGGAGTATCTGGGGAGCTGGAAGAGGAGAACTGGTGACTTTTTAGTGCAACTATAGTACGCGGAGCACCTGGGGAGCTGGAAGATGAGAACTGGTGACTTGGTAGTACACCTTTAGTACGCGGAGTAGCTGGGGAGCTGGAAGATGAGAGCTGGCGACGTCGTAGTACAACTGTACTAGGCGGAGTCGCGGAGTATCTCGGGAGCTGGGAGATGAGAACTGGCGACGTTGTAGTACAACTTTAGTACAACTTTAGTATACGGAGTCTCTGGGGAGCTGGAAGATGAGAACTGGCGACTTGGTCGGACAACTGTAGTACGCGGAGTATCTGGGGAGCTGGAAGATGAGAACTGGCGACTTGGTAGTACAACTTGAGGACGCGGAGTATCTGGGGAGCTGCAAGATGAGAACTGGCGACTGTGTGGTACAACTTTAGTACGCGGAGTA